TCCAAAAATATTGTATGAGTGATCTTGTTTGCATTTTGTTTTCTTGTTTGTTTCTACTTTTTCCTGTGAAATACAGGAAAAAGTAGAAACAAACAAACAGTAATCTATACAAGTTGCCTAGTATCGTTCGGAAGAGGAAAAATGAAGAGGCTACAATGGACTGCGTATACTGTGGCAGGTGAAACGATATTTGGATACAGAATTTTGATGAGGACGTTCTTTATTTATTTATTTATTTATTTTTTTTGAAAAAATGGAATGTGACACCGTCGTTTCGGGAGAACATACCGCGCCTATCTTCAGGACTAAGTCATGTAAGCAGATATGCAGAGTACTCTGTCTGCTTACATGGCCTACCTTTTGACCTTGACGATGGAGGCGGTAAGTTGCTCTCGACCTCGACACTAAATAGAGTTGAGTGGTCAGCTTCACTCCCCGGCCGCTTTACCCCCGTGAGAGAGCCCTTAGTACCCATCGGATAAGAGGTTGTGTGGGTCCTAAATTCAGTCTGGACGCTGAGGAGAATAGAAAAATCTTACACTGCCGGCAATCGAACCGGGGACGTTCAGCCAGTCGCCCTACCGATTAACCTATCCCTACATTGCTTCATAAATGATTGTAGGTAAGCTGCAAAATCGCTATTGTTTATTTGTATCCAGTCAGTAAGGCTACTTCATTCAGTGTTGCAGCTATATGGGTTGGTTATTACATTTCTAGTCAGGCTGTAGCCACGCTTGCGCAGACAACTTCGTAGTCCACTGAGTGAGTGGAATGCTCTGTGACCTACATTTCACAACGGATACCACCAGATTTTAACTTGCTGCGCTCAGATGTCGCCTCGAACAATTCCCTCACCTTTCCCTTCACAAGAAAACAGTACGACATACCATGCTGAAAGCACGAGTGGAACTGCAACATGTTTCTCCCTTGGATGTTTTCTCTGATTTCGCATCTTCAGTTGTATTCATTCTCATTAAACCCTTCGAGACGTAATGTTTGCTATTTGTATCACATACTTAAACATTATAAACTGTGCATTTTGACGGCCTAATGTAAAGGTAAATATGTCCTTGTGATTAATAAAGACGCCATGAAGAGACATGAGGAAGTGAAAGTACAGCTCCACTATTCTTGGCCCAGGCAACAGACGTATGGTGCGGTTTCTATCCCCGGTAGCTTTGGCCTCAGATAAATAGTCCTCAGTACCCACTGGACAAGGGGCTGTGTGAGCCCCAAGGCCGGTCTGGACGCTGAGGAGCAAAGAAAAATGTCTTGCCCCTGCTGGGAATCGAACCCCGACCGTCCAGCCAGTAGCCTGCTGCCATACAAACTGACGACATGGTGTACTTAAAACGCTGCGTAACATTCTCACAACAAAAATCATTCTTACTCTTTAACCAACCAAGTACTGAATCAGAGATGAAGTCCCTGACTTAGAAACCGAGAATATGATAATGTGCTGCGTGCTCAGGGCTGCCTCACAACTCATATGGCAGTGACAAATAAGTATGGTGCAATGGTGGAATGATGGTTAGCAAGGGAAATCCACTACAGTGACGCTTGGTCCACCACGAGTCTTAGAATGTCGTTCGGGATAGAACACGGGTCTTCGTGGTGAGAAGCCTGCGTCTAACTGCCTGAGCTACGGCATAGTAATGATCTTCACAGCAAACAGCGATTACTTCCCTGAACAGAATTAACTGACCTTATCTTCATAGCGGGAACTTAATGTTTCCTGTGAGGTACGAGCTGAATTCCTAAGTATACTGCTCCGAATATTATGCCCGTACAACTTTATCAAGGAGGCTTGCGGTAGCATAGTTGGCTGAGGCACTATGCTACAAGCCGGAAAGTCTCGGGTTCAATTCCCGAGGAGGCCATTGGATTTTTCAGTTGATCCAATCCTTCCAGCCGCACTGTGGCCTTGCGGTCGACTCAGCCGCTAACAAAAATGACTACCAAGAATTTTCCTTGGGGGTAAAGAGCGGCCGGAGCTTAAAGCTGACAACTTCGCCGCCATCTGTGAGCCGCTTATCTATAAAATGCGGGAGGATCGACGTCTCATAACCCTATGGGCCTCGATGGACTATTACAAAGATAGCTTTACCTTACAACTTGATCAAGGTTCCCTGTGGTTTTCCTCTGCCCTAGAGCAAGTGATGGGTTGGTACCCAAATCCGTTCTCCCAACAGTTCCTCTATTGTTGCGTCACGCAGCTGTTGCACGGACTGCGTAGAAAACACCGGTTCCCAATTAATCCATTTGTGCGTGTTTTAATCTGTTGCGGCCATTACCTAGCAACTGCCGTTGTTCACAGAGCCCTTACCTGTTATTGTACAGCTGCTTATTAGGCGGGCGTTGCCTAGAAACGGGTCTGCATGTTACAGTATATATTTTCTCCCTTATTTCGCAAAATATATACCGTATAACGACAAACGGTTAACTAACCCCTGGAACATAAAAGCCATACGAGGGAGCAGATGCATTGGCGACATCAGCAGTAGACGGAAGTGTGTTGAACTTCACGATCTGGCCACTGTGTCCATGGTACATGGTTTCAGAACGGTCTGAACATGGCGAGAAAATCCCTGTCCCTGACAAGAATCAAACCCAGCCACTCTGTCCTTGAATAATAAAATATAAGAGAACATTTTTGTAATAACTGTACATAAAAGGAAACGTTGTCTCTATGCTTAACTGATGAAGCTGTACGCTATGAAAGCGTATGGAGAAGTGGGTATATAGATCCACTTATTCTTGACGTGGATACTAGTAGGAGGTGAGTGCTCAGCTTCACGCTTTACTCCCGTGGAAATAGCCTCCAATATCCATTCTATAAGGGGCGGGTGGGACCCAGAACCGGTCCGGACAACGTGCGGAATAGAAAAATCTTTCCCCTGCCGAGACTCGAAATCCGACCCCTCTTCTATCCAGTCAATCTGTGTTGTAATTTCTTAATTTTAGAATGTAAGGCTGAAAATTGGTTTTGAGATTTCATGTGCCGATATCTGATATCTCTACGAGTTTGCAATGAAGGACAAAATGTGACTGGGCAAGTGGAATGCTGCCTTGATGCCAAGGTCATCGTTGCGCAAGCACAGCTGCCATTTTGTTCATAATTTTCATGTGTTTAGTTGTATGCAGTTAGGTTAAAATTCTTCATGTGTACATATACTGCATATATATACGTATATCCACCGCGGAGGCCCGGGTTCGATCCCGGGGTCTGGTCAAGTGGGATTTGTGGTGGACAAAATGGCGCTAGGGTACGTTTTCTCCTAGTAATTCGGTTTCCCCTGCCAATCTTCATTCCACCAATTGCTCCACAATCGCCCTCACCTGTCATCTGGGGCTGGTACAATAGGCCACAAGTGGCCGCAGTACAAGGGACTTAGTCCCATTCCACTAGCAAAAAAAAAATGTATACGTATAAGAGTACATACATATGTATTTTGTATGCATAAAAATACATATTATGGGTACCGGGGGCTCTTTCCCTGGGGATAAAGTGGCAGGAGCGTGAAGCTGACAACTCACCTCTATCTAGTGTCCGGGTCAAGAATGGTGGAGCTATGCCTCAACTTCCCCGTACGTTTCCATGGCGTGGTGCTTAATTAACTGAGCATGGGGACAGCTTTTCATATAAATATAAATATTTTCCTCCGGGATTTTTACAGTTCTGCTGATACTGCTGTGAAGCTTTCAGCGTTTGTGGATTATTTTTGTAGGCTTTCTGTTTCACTTGCCTCCGTAGATAAAAATTATACACATTTATGTGTGTGTGTATCCATGTATGCATACACACATGAGCGCCGACAAAGGTGGCGAGACAGGTACCTCACCCTTCAGGAATTTTCGTATAAAAAATCAAAATTGAAAAGGAAAGGTACCATATATTAAAATCAAAGGATTCTGAACACAGTTCGTGACGCCATCTCTGTTCCAATACTAATATTCACAACTCTACGCCGATCAGTAAAAATATTCTTAGGCGGCTCTGACGTAAATTTGTAAGCAAATTTTCTGCCCCACTGCTGGGTGAGTCAAAAAGCCAGTCTGGACTCTGTGAAGAACAAAATTCCCTTGCTACTGCCGGGAGTCGATCCCTGATTGCTTGTTCAATCACCCCATAATTTCTTAAACGTGTTTCTTGGACAGGCAACAAAATTATATTTAATAATTAAAATTACTTGTATTTTATGTGTATTGGAAATGGAGCGTAGATGGCTTTGAAAAAGTGCTGTCCATGATCCAACAAAGAAAAATCAACATATTTCTACAATTTATTTGTCAGCGTTTATAAAACCATGCTGAGATGTTTAAATCACAGACACGGGAGACATAAGAATAGACGTACTTATTTTTTAATATCTTAAAATTTTGTCATGTTTATAATATACGTGCTTTATTTTTCACCCGAAATACTATTAAGAATGCATATAAATTCGGAGAGAGTAACGGTGCCGAAGTATGGTGCACCTTCCCTTTCGGTTCCCTACTTTAAGCAGGGCGCCATTTGGGTGGTACTGTCAGAAAGTAAAATCAGCTTTTTATGATGTCCAGTAATGTATATTAAGTAGGGATAATGAAAGAGATCATAATTCTCTCATATCTTTGAATTTAGTGGTTTATAAATTATATAGTATTAAATTTAAACCATACCAAGTTAATGAAAATCAATTTCGTTCCTCTTTTGTTTTGTTCGTTGGTTACTCTGGTTATTCCAACCAATCAAGAGACGGGACTCTATCGATTGTTCGATTGTACGTAACTGCATCCGTCATCCCTGGAATTTACACGCTTTATTTATAATACTGTTATCTCTAATTGATCAAATATGATGACTTATGTATGAATAATTCACTGAATATTAATAAAGTATGCGTATTCCCTTTATCATGACGTATGTACGGAATTATATGGAGACCTACTTTTCGTCAAACAACAGTCGCGGAAGGTTAACTAGCAATGGATATATAAGTTAAGTGCGACCTACATCTGCTCCCTCTTCCTCATATAGAGTAGGGTTTGTTCGTGTGAGGTTGTGTCTCCTCAAATATAGGTTACACAACCCACGTCAATTTCGTGACATAACTTAAAAAACCAAAAAAATTATAAAACTAGTAAAAATCCAAAAAAATCGAAAAATCTGTGAAAATAAACGTGAAACAAGTTGACTAAAGTGCGTGTGGTCTTGAACGTACAACGTGGGCATTCTGGAAGGACTCTGAAGCTAGCCATTTTCTTCGAAGAAAGGAGGTTTCGCAGATTGAAAGTGTGTTGTATTGTAATATTAGCTTCTGTGGTAAAATATATATAACTTCACCCAAAAATGAATCCAGGTGGCCCCAATTACCCTATGGCCTCTTTGTATGTTGGCGATTTGCACCATGATGTAACGGAGGCCATGCTCTTTGAAAAATTTTCAACAGCTGGGCCTGTACTTTCGATTCGGGTTTGTAGGGACATGATTACCCGCAGGTCCCTGGGATATGCGTACGTCAACTTTCAGCAACCAGCAGATGGTAATTAACCAACTTTTTTCAGTAAATTTAATCTTTATAGATATTTTAGCCATATTTCAAACATTGGACTAGGCTGCCTATGCATTTCTATGACATTGCTTTTAAGTTTTTATTTATTTATTTTAGCCGAGCGAGCTCTGGACACCATGAATTTTGACATGATAAAAGGGCGTCCTATTCGCATCATGTGGTCTCAGCGTGATCCATCGCTTCGGAAATCTGGTGTTGGCAACGTTTTCATAAAAAACTTGGATAAAAGTATTGATAATAAGGCCATGTACGACACGTTCTCAGCATTTGGCAACATCTTGAGTTGTAAGGTATGTTATACACAATTTCCTGTAATCTGTATATTCAGACTTCTTGAGTTTGGTAAACTGTATATATGTGACTGTTTGGAGTGTTGGCAGTTCTAAATGCCAACAGGCGTGTAGATTGAGGTAGATAACTTTGGAGAGCATTTTGTGATAGAGAAAATGTATGTTTAGGTTCCTACATAGTGAAAAAAGGGGCATGTTAGTTGTTGAAGCTAAGGTTTTGTTGTCTTCCGTAATTGAACAATGTAGGATGCTGTAGAATGAAAAACTGAGGTTTTGCGGATTGAAGTACCAAGGTGTTTGCTTATTTTATTGTTAAAATTTGTTCATTGTTACAAGCTTGCTGTTGGTGTAAATGACTTCAGGATACTATGGCCATACTACTGAAATTTCAGTAGAAGAATTAGGGACTTCCCATCTCTAGTTAAGTCTTCATGAATGGAATTCTAATTGTTTCGCTCTTAACACATTATAGCCCTTGAGGGGCACTTCAAAATCGTGATTTTACTGACTATACATGCCTTGGAATAGAGGTTAGGTCATTAGGCAAAGATTGGGACTGTAATATGGACGTAACTATGGATACCTGTCTGCTGTATGTTGCCATGATATTTTGTTCTGTTATGTAATTGTTAATAATGGTTGCTATGTAATGATGCTATAGCATATGAAGGCTCTTCAAAGATTGTTTGCCCACTCAGGCAGGAGAAATGTAGTCACAATTCTGGACGCAGGACTTAACCCATTTTGTCTCATCGTCTTTCCATAAGTTTTCTGCATGAATTCCCCTTGCACCTTTCATAAATTTTGCAGCACAGTGAAATGGACCCATAAGACTGCTTAAGCACATAATGACTTAACCAAGCCCGCTTGTCCATGCAAGTAGAGTGAAGCTAAAAATGTACTCGCCAGTGGCCGTTGTTAACTCACATGTGATGAGGGAGCATGTTTTTGGAGCCCTATAGCAAAATTTAAGAATATAATTGTTCTGATAAACAGAAAACTGGTGAGAACAAAAGTAAGGAGCAGCAGTGCTCTGCATCTGTAAACAAGGGAACAGAAACAGAGGCTCAATCCTATGATAGCTTTATTTCTTCAGTAAATTAACCATAAGTTCCACAGTCTCTTGTCCTCCTGGTATATCATTTGCCCTATTTACAAGCTCTTCTGTTGTGTTTCCTTTAGTAAAGGGCACACGTAGTGTAGTTTGCTGAGGCATTGTGCTACAAGCTGGAAGGTCGCGGGTTGAAGTCCTGATGAGGTGGATTTCTTTTAATTGACCTAATCCTTCCAACCGCACCGTGGCCCTGGGGTTGACTCAGCCTCTAACAGAAATGGTTACCAGGAATCTTCCTGGGGGTAAAGGTGGCCAGCATGTAAGCCTGACAACCTCACTGTCATCTGTGAGCCGATTGTCTAGAAAATGTGGGAGCCTCTTCGTATCTCAACCCTATGGGCCTGCAAGCCCTGTTACAGGGATAGCTTTGCTTACTAGATTCATGAAACATATCATGGAGAATAACAATATGGCATCTTCGCCAAAGCATTTTGGTATGAGGATGGTAATTGTTGAGTCATATTGACATGGACACAGAAATTTGAGTTTTGTGCTATAAAGATATTTAAGTTATGGTCAACAGAGCTAAAAGTGATGGTAGATGTGTGAACTGTGGTTGGAGATTCCATTTTCATTGTCTTCGGAGGGGAAGTCTTTTCTCTACCTCGTAATCCACGTACCTGCCTTATGATGGCAGTCACCTTGCTGTTACATTGATGTGACTTAATACCGAAGACAGCGCGAATTGGGCCCCACATGGCACATTGGCCCATGATTTACTGATAACCACAACCTGAACGACATCAAACTTTTAGCTTAATTATGAAGACTCCTATTAGAAATAAACTTGGAACTACACATATAATTTGACGAGGTATTTAACTTAAAGATTAATTTTAAAATTTTTGATAATTTTTGTGCCAGTTTTAAGACACATTGCATTGATAAATTTCTTAATACAAAATGAGGTTACTCGCTGGCTTTCCACCGTGGCATCCCAGGTTCAATCCCAGGTCAAGTGGGATTTGTGGTGGACAAAGTGGCGCTGGGGCAGGTTTTCTCCGAGTACTTCGGTTTCCCGTGCCAATCTTTATTCCACCAATTGCTCCACAATCACCCTCACCTATCATCTGGGGCTGGTACAATAGGCCAGAAGTGGCCACAGTACAAAGGACTTAGTCCCACCCCACTAGAAATAAAAGAAAAATACTAAATAATAAAGTTCCTGGTATAATAGACTTCAATTATTTTTAATTTTAAGCAACAAGAGTGCATCAGTAGGATTTTGAATATTTCATTTACATTCTCCAAAAAGGTGTATTCGCCATTACAACAGACTGTAAAATATAGATCCACATTAAGAGAAGTCAGTTCTAGAATTTAGTTTCTCTTGTAACTCTCCTGATGACCTAGAAGAGGTCTAAACCTTTAGTGTACAATAAATAAACAAATAGTGATACTGTAGCATTTTGTCTTCATCTTGATGCCCAGTTTATGTTGTTATGATATACAGGGATATTATAAATGGTTTGGGTGCTAAGAAATTAGCCTATTTTCAGAATGGTTGCAGATGTAAAACATGAATTAACTTGAAAATGGCAGGAAGACTCGTCCAGTTTCTGTCGACAGCTTTGACATAAATGTATCAGCTACTAATGACACTGTCATCACTATAAAATGAAAGTGGCATCTCAAGTGGAAACAGCACAATGTTTGCTTGTGATATGATGATCTAGGCCCATTTCTGAGCTCCCTACATCCATGAGACTTCCATCTGTGGGGACATGTGACAGAGCAGTTAAACCATCATCTGATACTGCAGTCCCTCTGAGAGCTTCATTATAAGATACTTACTTACTTACTTACTTTCTTACTCATGGAGCTGAGCCCTTCTTGAGGAGCAGCCAATTCTGCAGCTACTCAAGAAATTCCCAGCATTTTATCGAACCCAAAGTTTCATTACCGTGTTCACAAGAGCCCTCCACTTGTCCATATCCTGAGTCAGATCTATCCAATCCATACCATCCCATGTAGTTACTATAGGATTCTGACGATGGTGTATAACGCACAGAGATATTGGGTTCTCGGACTTTATCCATTATCCTGGTTTTTAAGATAACTAAGAAAACACAACATTTCAGAAACTGGATTTGTTTCCATCCTCAGGTTCTGTTGGGTCCCTTAGCAAGAGCTAGCCTCAATCACTGGATTGAGTCGTGTTTTTTTAGTTATCTTAAAAACCAGGACGATGGATAAAGTCCGAAAACCCAATATCTCTGCATACCATCCCATCCTATCTCTCTTTAAGATCCATTCTAATATTGTCCACCCACCTACGCCTTGGTCTTCCCTGTGGTCTCTTTCCTTCTGGCTTTTCCACCAATATCCTATACACATTCATTCATATCATTATCAGATAACTCCAGATAAACTTCATGAGCTCCATGATGTTCCCATATTGTTTCATGTTTGTATCTATAAGTACTGATTTCTTATCACTCAAATCAATTATAATAGCATCAAATAACATCTCAAAAAAAGTTACAATAGGGTGAGATGATGTGCAATACTGAGCATAATGATAAAGATGAAGTACAGCTTGCCGACATAGGTTGCCATGCGAATCCTGTCGCAGCCTTACACCAGTGGTTGTCTGAGCTGAGGAAATGGGATGTGGTGTTCTGACTGCATACAATGGGTTTGGGTCTTGTGCAGTGCTACTGGTGTTGAGAGGGTTTGAAAATATGTGCCTGTGATTATACAGATATGTATTTAAAGATCGCTGGTCCAGACTTCCAAGGTTCCGTACACCAGTTCATAGTAACTTGGTGAAAAGTAACTAGTTTTTTCGTGTATTAATTTTTTGGGGGACAGAATTGTCACATGTTAGTGAATTAGACAGGGGTTGGTCCCTGCTAAGCAGCTGTAACATGGACCACTTACAAAACATTTTTCCTAACAATTGCCCAGAAGTTTCTCTATTGTTGCATGTGCATTCATTGCCACACATAGGTGTTTACTGTGCAGTTCCCTGGCAGTGAACGTTCTCTTCTGGCTCCACTATTCTGGCCTTCAGCCTTTACAAGATGAAGGAATTGGTCAAGACTGACAAGAACTATGGCAGCTGTTGGAAAATTCTCTTTGATAAACTGAATTTTGCTTACACTAAATTTTACGCTCTGTCACTCACATTTCTTTGTGCTTTTCCACGGTTCCAGCAGGGAAGTGCCTGTATTCCTTCAGAATCCCTTCCAATTCACCCCTCATTCTGCCTTTCAGTACTGTATAGTCTGGATACAGGTGTCTCATAAAATAAACCACAAATTAAATTACTAGAATGCCACATAAATATGTCTTCCCCACTGTAATTTCACTGAGCAAGTTGGATTTTTGACTTGTATCCAGAAGCTGCTTGGTTGGAACATTGCTCAGGACACCAACTGGCATCACTGATGTTTTTTGTGATTTTTCTCAGGCCTTTCAAGCAGACTACTTAATGATTTCTACCCTGTTTCTAGTATAATTAATAAACTTGCTTATTTTATGACCATCATTGAGCATTTCAGAATCCTGAATTTAATTTCCTGTTATAAACATGGTAAAATGATGCTGATAGCTTTATCAGTTTTGAATATTTCTTTTCAATAGGTAGCTCAAGATGAAACTGGAGCATCAAAAGGATACGGATTCGTCCACTTTGAGACAGAAGAAGCTGCCACGAAATCCATCGAGAAAGTTAATGGAATGCTGTTGAATGGAAAGAAAGTATTTGTTGGCAAGTTTGTTCCACGCAAGGAGCGTGAGAAGGAGCTCGGGGAGAAGGCTAAGCTCTTCACAAATGTCTACATTAAAAACTTCGGTGAGGACTTCAGTGACGAACTGTTGCGAGAGATGTTCGAGAAATATGGCCGGATCACTAGCCACAAGGTAATAAAACTGGTGTTCGTTAATCTGCCCATATCTCTGTCCACTTCATGGTAGCCTGCCCTAAGTAATGTTATTGTAATGTCAGTATTCCTAGTCACTAGGTGTCACTTGCAGATTTTTGCNGGGGGGGGGTCGGTTTTAGTACATAAAAGTGAAAAATAATTAAAGTGCAGGTTTTGGGCAAAAATACTACTGCAGGAAGCACACATATTTTGGAGCATGGACACACCGAAAGGAGAAATGAGAAACAGAAGGTAGCAGAAATCCAAGTAGTCCTTTGTATTTTGCATAAAGTACGTGAAAACATGTAGGCATGCTTATGGGGGTGTATGCATTAATTTAAAGTATTTAAGGATAATTCATCTCAGCGCATGGGGAAATGAAGTTATTGTGTTAAAAAAACGTTAACGTGGTATGGTAAATGGGATGTGCCACTTATGTGAGTCTGCTGGTTCGAGAAGAAAAACTTAAAGAAACACAGTTTTGCGTGATCTTTACCCTTCCCATTGTCGTATTGCCTGAAGTCTGTTTGGCTCTATGTGCATACCTCCTATTGTTGCTAGGCAAAGGCTTGGTAAAATGTCTCCTCTCGTTGCTAGGTAACAACTCTGTAAAGACATTCCAGCGGCAACTAAGAATTGTTGTTGTAGTCATTTTCTGTGTGGCGTGTGTTATATGAAAGATATTGTTGCATTATAGGCAGTAGAAGACTAAAAGTGGAAGAAAGTAAGACTGCGTGATATTACAGAAAAGAGCAATCTGAAATTTCTTTGTAAGCTCTAGGTATTCAAGAAGGACACCAAAAGACCAGAAGCATTGTAAATGAGGTTTCAGCCTTTGTTGGGTATTGGAGTAGATCACCAGTGAAATACGGGGTTAAAAATGCTCTAAATATCCATGAAATGAACTATCAGACAAGTTGGGTGTGATGCATACAGAGTGAAGGTGAATCAGCACAGGAACTGGAAAAGCAACTAGTGACAGATCTTGAAGAAAGCAGTCTTCTGGGATTTGGCACCGTGTATATGTGGTGTTAACCGACGTTTCGGAGGAACGTATCGCCCCCATCTTCAGGGTAGAAGAAAAAGTATAAGAAATCTGCAAGCGACAACACCGTGAGAAACGGTAAAGCAGTCTGCTTGTTGTTGTCGCTTGCAGATTTCTTATACTTTTTCTTCTACCCTGAAGATGGGGGCGATACGTTCCTCCGAAACGTCGGTTAACACCACATATACACGGTGCCAAATCCCAGAAGACTGCTTTCTTCATAGTCACCGCCGTGAAAGCCTCAAATCTTACACAGTGACAGATCTTGGTTCCTGAAAAGTGAGGTTATGATCAATTGCATATATAGGATTTTGGTGCAGATAATTTGAGCCTAATCCTGTGTAGATTATAAACCATTTCTTAATTTCATATATTGATGAAAAAAAATGTTTGAAGTCTGCTATGGAAAATATTTGTGTTCTATTCTGTATTTGCAGTTTTACCATCCAGACATCTTCAGACTTCTCTGCTCATCCCACGGTGAATGTTTCAAGTGTTTGTGCCATAATTTGAATGCTAAATTTTTATCTGATATAGGTTATGAGCAAAGACGATGGGAAGTCCCGTGGTTTTGGTTTTGTGGCATTTGAAGAACCAGAAGATGCTGAAAGGGCAGTAGACGAGCTTAATGGCAAAGAACTAATTGAAGGCAAGGTACGGAAATGTATTCAGTACAGCTAACTCACTGGATCCGAGCTCTTTTTGAAAATACATTAAACCCTCATCATAATATACCCACATGTAAGGGACAAAATCTGGGTTTGAACAGATGTGAAGTTTTAGAGATTGAGGAAGGTTTTGTAGTTAGAAAACTATTTCAAATAAAAAGGAACCCCAATAAAAGATCTTTATGCAGTCACATTTTGTGTTTCTGTTTTCATTGCATGTATTGGCTATGAATCCTGTGGTGTACTTCTGTTAATTACCCTTCACTCAGTTAATAGCAGACATCGGGGATAATGGAGATCCTGACCCCCCTATTAGTCAATTATAATGAGAGTTTACTGTAGTTGCTCAGCCACAAGCACACAAAATCTCCAGTTTATTATGGAACCTGAAGGTTCATTACAGTGTTCACAAGAACCCACTTCTGGGCGAAGCCAGTCCATGGCCAATTTATTGAAATGTGATTTGTTAGTCACATATTCCCGTCTTATTGCTTCAATTTTATGCATGTTCAGTGGCCACATCATTGCCACACACACACACACACACACAATTCACCCATGTGTTCACGTTGTTGTCATGTGTTTGCTCGGCAATGTGACAAGAAAATTCATGCAGGTTTCGGATTTGGCTACTATGTTTTTTGGATGCTCACTTTTATGCTTACAAGTACAATTATTCACAATCACAATTACTGCTTCGAAGCCAACTGAAGCCTGACTACTCTTCTAAGGTCAAATGCGAATCTGAACTCATCTCTTGTCACAGTTGGACTCTTATAACTTCCACACAAGACTCTATAGGGAATACCATCTCGAGGGGTTCGTTACGCTCGCTGCTATCAAAACATTACTTCAACAATTCATGTGTAACGGTGGAAACTCCACTGTTAGGAATTGCTAGCATTCTGCTTCCTAGTTGCTGTCGTGGGAACATTGGTCATTGCCTAGGAAATCAACCATTCCTTCCGGCTTTCTGGTGGCATGCCACATTATTATTACTTTGTAGATGGAATTAATAACTGCAGTATCCTTCAAACTGATCTTTTGTTTGTATATTATACGTGAAATGCTGGGTGTAACACATTTTCTGCTTTCCAGCCTTTGTATGTCGGCCGTGCCCAGAAGAAAGCCGAGCGCCAACAAGAGCTTAAACGCAAATTTGAACAACTTAAGATTGAACGTCTTAACCGCTACCAAGGAGTAAACCTGTATGTGAAGAACCTGGATGACACTATTGATGATGAACGTCTCCGTAAGGAGTTCACTCCATATGGAACCATTACCAGTGCCAAGGTAAAGAGACCATTTCTATGCTGATGCTTTGTCCTCATAACAGTTGCGTTGCTGCTTGTGCATCATATTGCATAGAAATATTAAATTGGTTCTGTGCACTCAACAGTTGCACATATCACCAACTGAAAGCTCATTCTTCCACAGGGTTCATGAGTTTATCAGATAGCAGTCAGCATATGCGCAAACCATCGAGTGGTGCCTGCATTTGTGTCCCTATGAATTTGTTGCAGTTGCGGCAGAAGTGATGTTACTTTACTTTTGTGTGCGCGCACACTTGTGTGTAGAGAGGGTGCGAAGTTCAGATATTTGAGAACGCCAATAGCAAATAAAAAATTTGATTCATGGGGAAATTAAAAAGGTGGCTTAAATTCAAGTAATTCTTGCTACATTTCGGTTCAGAACCATGTATCTTCTCATCTGCTGAGGTTAAAATGTACAAAACTTTAGTTTTGGCTGGTTTTGTATGGGCAGGAAAATTGATACACTGAGTGTGTTTGAGAACAGGGTGCAGGCTGAAGGGAATATGTGGGCCAGATAGAGATGAAATAATAGGTTGGAGAAAATTACATAATGAGCCTTCTGACTCGTTTTCTTGGCCAAATATAATCATTAACTCAAGGTGAATGAAGTGTACAGGCCATGCAGAATGCATATAGGGTTTTGATGGGAAAAGCAGAAGGAAAGAGACCATTAGGAAGACTAGCTATAAATGGGAGGATAATATTAAAATTTATCTCGGAGAAATAGTATGGGAGCAATATGGACTTCATTGTTCTGGCTCAGGATAGGGACCAGTGGCTAGCTCTTGTTCACATGGTAATGAACCTTCTGGTTGCATAAAAATTCTTGAGTAACTGAGTGGCTGTTGGCTTCCCAAGAACGTGACTGTATGGATTTAGTTAGTTGGGTAGACTTATTGTTTTGGCTGGTTGTGCAATAAAATATGCAGCAGATTCGCCTGTCGTGAAAAGTGAATGTATTTATATAGTCTGGTTGAACAGTAATGTCTCCCCATTCACTGACTGAATCACAGGTACCTAAAATATTAGATGTTACAGGTTTATGATAACTACAGACTTCTTAAAAGATTTTAATTTAATAATCAACCTGATATTTATAGAGGAAACATTGAGGTATCCTTGTTGTTTCGTACAGTAATCCTAAAATATAAGTTTCATGCGAACTGGAATCAAGTTGTCCTGCACACACACTTTACGTGCGCAAAAGGAAATGAGATACCATGACTCAGAACACATTTCCTTACCACAATTAAAGATGTTACAATGGAAGCCCCATTTAATGTTATCGACGTAAGATTTGTCCTCACTTAACATTCCGTTACAAGGATCCCAGGCCAATCTCAGTATTAAATTTCTTCCTCTTTAAGATTTTGCAGATTTCAGTGTTCACATCCACTGCTGCTGGAATGGACCTGACTCTGTGACTTTGGGAAGGTGCAGTCAGTATAGCTGTAGGCATCAGAGTTTGATTCTTGACAGGGGCTAGAGGCTTTTATTTTCTTCTTCGCAGTGTCGAGACACAGTTCTGGGTTCTGTACAGCCGCCTATCCAATGCTCACAGCAGGGTCCTTCCCCTGATGTGAAGTGGCTGGGGTGTGAGACTTCACCCTTTATGTGTGTGAATCATCTTCCTCCCCCTCCTCCAACTTCTTCTCCTTCTTAAAAAATAGCCATTTTTGAGCCATGACCTTAGAAGATTTCAACTTATTTGTCTCTTCCTGGCATGAATTAGACCATACAGTTTTCATTTCTTTGCATTTCACAGCAGTAATTTATGTAACAAGGTGTTCATCCTTTCACTTGTCCATCAGTGACATTAAGGCCCAGTTATACCCCCGGGCATTGGGTTTCCTTTTTGTCACGTACGACTCACAGAACATGGTGGAGGTTTTCTAACCTACCTCCGTACAAGAAGTGTATGTGAATACTATTATATATTTTATTTTCCCATAGCACTTTCTGTTTTTAGGCAGTCATCTTGGATTCCAACAGAAACTTTGTTTTAATTAGTCGTTACTGATAATTCGTTCAGGTGATGCTGGAGGAAGGCCGCAGCAAGGGATTTGGCTTCGTGTGCTTCTCGTCTCCAGAGGAAGCAACAAAGGCTGTGACAGAGATGAATGGCCGGATTGTTGGCACCAAGCCGCTCTATGTTGCACTCGCTCAGCGCAAGGAAGATCGCAAGGCTCATCTGGCTTCACAGTACATGCAGCGTATGGCCAATATGCGTATGCAACAGATGGGAACGGTAAGTTCAGTGGACGAGTGCTTTTTATTAACACACAGTAACGTGTATTCTAATTTCTTCATTTTCATATTCTTTTTGGCAAGTTCCCAAGCATAACATTGTAGTTCAATAAGTAGCAGTCCTTTGTATTTGAAAGGCCCCTGATTCTAAGCTTGGAAACTGGTTGTGTCAACTTTTGTGAGTCCCTGAAGGAGAATTTTGGGATAGTGCCTCGAATTTGGCCATGACTACTTTCTTCCCTGTCCATTCCACTTCACTGCTTGTGCTGCTGAGAACAGAAAAAAAAAAATGTTCCAGTGTTTTCGGAATATGGATAGAACAGGAAACTGGCTCCAACATTCAGTTCATTGGATACCAGTGGTAGGATCTAAGCTAGTTTAAGCATCATGGCACAAACCAAGAATTAATAAGTAGGTTTTTGTGTCTTTAACTGTTTCTCATTCCAGTCCTGTAATTTAGAATTCATGCTTTCATTCTTCGTAATATTGGAGATGTTGGAGGAAGAACAAGACAAGGTTCATTACTCTTCTTCCTCCCCTCTTTCAGCTCCCATTTCATGGTCTGCATGTTACAATGAAAATGGAAACTGAACCCTGTTCTTGTAGCAGTCACGATACTTCAGTATAGAAGCAGGCCGTGGACTGGACAGCTGAATGTTGGGAGTTTGATTCCTGGCAGGGGAAAGAGATTTTTATCTCCTCCACAGCGTCTAGACTGGCTTTGAGGCCCACCCAGGCTCCTGTCCACTGGGTACAGGGGGCTGTTTTGTGTGGCAGTAGAGTGGCTGGGGCATGAACCTGGCCGCTTGTCTCAGTCTGTTGCTGAGGTTAAGAATGGTGGAGCCCTGCCTTCACTTTCCCATATGTCTTCATGACATGGTGCTTAATTAAACTGAAGGAAGACTTTAAGTTTACCTTAACCTGTTCTTCATAACTGACTTATCATTCCAGTGTCCTAATTTACATTGTTTTTTGATGTCTTTGGTTTCCATTGTTTGCCATCTGGTATCAGGTATTCGTCTGTTTTGCCTGTCTTTGTTTTTCCATTCTTTCTATATTTTAAGACTTGAAGCTTTTCATTTTCAGTTCTGAGTGCAGTATATTATTTTCCGATCATTATGTATACAATCCTGCCTACTGATGTGGCTTGTGTTCGTTCCGTAGCAAATGTTCCAGCCTGGTGGTGCAGGTGGCTACTTTGTACCAACATTGCCTCAGCCTCAGAGGTTCTACGGTCCGGCACAGATGGCTCAGATTCGTGCTACTCCACGCTGGCCTGCTCAACCACAGGTCCGCCCAAATGCCCAGGGCGGCGCCTCCGGTTTCCCAAATATGCAGGGACCGTTCCGAACGGCCCCTCGTGCTCCAGGCGCTCAACCAGGTTCCATGCGAAATGCACTGTCAGCAAGGCCCATTACAGGTACAGAACTGTTGTAGAATGATGTGTTTCTTGGCTTCCGCTTTTAAGAATCTTTTGCGGTGAAGAAACGGGAGAATTTTGTGACGAGTTTACTGACTGATCAGTTTCCCAAGGGCTGTGCCACATGGAATTACATAACAGTTTCCTGGTGTAACATAATGTAATCCCGCTTCAGTATAACCTTGATTTTTGTTAAAGAAGGCCATTACCCCCAGAGATTTTGTTATATAGGGGTTTCCCCATATTTGATTGAATTGTCTTTTTGTCTTAAGTAGATATAGGGTCAGAGAAGCATCAGCAGCAGAGCTTATTTAATGCAATATGTGTATGTTGTAATGCCAAGTTTACAGTTTAGATTCAAGGGAGAGGCAGTAAACAGGTAACAAATGCATACAAAGCATAAAACGTGTTGTATTCAAACCTGGAAAAAACATTTATTTCTTGACATATCCCTCACCAACATTGATACACTTGTCCGATTGCTTTACCAGTATGTTGAAATGCGCAGCATAGAAGTCTTCTGACTGTTGTCTTAGCCACTTGCGCACCTCTGTTTCAACCTCTGCGTCATCAGCAAAACGTTTGCCACCAAGGCTGAACTGCTTTACGCTACAGACATTTCCCACTGTAAACAGGAAGCATATCTTTATGAATATCCTTTGCATTGAGTCCTTTTGTCCACAAAAATCACACAACAGAACTCTCCTCTTCAGTAGTACACCCTCAAGCAGAGTTGCCATTTTGACTACCGAAACCAGCCTCTGAACATACACATGCATATGCATCTGCTACATAAACAGTCATGAAGCTGGACTGTGCTGCTACCTAGTGGTACACATAGAAAACATATTACTTCCATTTGTGACTTGTTTATTGACTACCTCTATCACACATTTTAATGTCAGCACTACAGAAAAGCATCTTTGATGTATGAATTGTGATATTCCTGTATAATGCATATGAAACTTGGGGAAATTCACTAGTTGAGATTAAATGGAGTCAGGTGGATGTCTATAATACCGACAGAGTCAGTCTCTAATTTTATGACTCCACGTGTCAGTGCTTGGCTGTGTGCCTTGAATCTACATTTGCCGACAGTGACTTCAGTGAAGAAAGCAGTCTTCTGGGATTTGGCACCGTGTATATGTGGTGTTAACCGACGTTTCGGAGGAACGTATCGCCCCCATCTTCAGGGTAGAAGATGGGGGCGATACGTTCCTCCAAAACGTCGGTTAACACCACATATACACGGTGCCAAATCCCAGAAGACTGCTTTCTTCATAGTCACCGCCGTGAAAGCCTCAAATCTTACATAGTGACTTCAGTAGTTTCAAACTTCAGACAGCATTGGTCAACAGGAACATTGCCAGTTAGGCTGAAGTTGTCCTAATCTTAACTAGTTAAGCACTGTGCCATGAGGGCATATTGGGGAGTGGATGTATAGATCCACATTTTCTTGACTTCAGCACTAGTTGGAGGTGAGTGGTCAGCTTCACGCCTCTGCCACCCCGGAGAAAGAGCTCCTGGTAAAACATTGCCAGTTGCGTATTACAAGAACTGTACAGCTGGATGTGTATTCCAAATGCTGCAAGACTGCAACTTCACTCTTCAGCATCTGGAGCTGACATGAACATCTGACGAGTGCTGCTTGTTTCGGTCCATGTGGGGGCAAGGTTCATTAAATGGAGACCAATACTATATTACGTCTTCATGTGAATATTTTCAGATGGTAGACCTAGCGAGAATTCTTATATATTTATTTTGTATGTATGTGTTGGTCCAGGCCAGCAACCAGTGGGCGCAGCAAACATCCAGGGTCGTCCAATGGCGCCTACAGTGTCTGTGTCAGCACAGGGCCGCCAAACCAACTACAAGTACACGGCAAACATGCGCAACCCACCTCAGCCGATACCAGTTGCTCAGCAGCCCCCTGTCCAACAGGTACAGACAAGTTCACAAAATTCTGAGAATGAGGATATTGTCCACTTGACTAATTTTTTCACTGTAAATTCATCTTATAATTCCAGCACTTCTCCCCATCACTGAAGTTTACTGCCATTTTCCTTTGATGTGCTTTATAATGTAAAGTTTTTGATATGTCAATATTTTAGCCTGCTTTCCATATTTTGAAAAAATATAAGTATATTAATGTGATGGCCCTGCTGGCTGGCTGGTTGGCCCCGCCCATAAACTTTGGATGGCTGAACCAATCTTCATGAAACTTGGTAAGTATATCATGGCACCTGAACCCATCTCGGCAACGTATTTCATAAATCCCTCATGTTAGTGTGTGTGTCCCATTTTGTTGCCCGACAGGGGTAAAACTGTTACTCCAGCAACAAATATACATGCAGCAGTAGAAAAATTGTTTTCTGTGTGGTCTGCATCATATCAAAGTAAGGTAGGTGATCAGTTCTTCCTATAACTTATGATGAAAAGTTTACACATGTCATTCTGATGCATCACGTAGTTTGTGTTACTGCAAACGGGTTAAATTGTGGTTGAATTTTTCTTTTTGTCAGTTCGGTCCTATTGAGACTTTGACATGCCTTCTGTACAGTATTTTACATTCTTAAAAGTGACTACCTGAACCAAGTGTAAAGTGAAGCTATTAGAAATGCATTAAGGAAACTGGTCATTGGTGTTGGGCTAGTCCCTTTTGTTCCTTGAGGCTATTTCAGATGATGTTTTCCAGGCTGTGCACATTCAGGGGCAGGAACCTTTGACTGCATCAATGTTGGCAGCTGCACCACCACAGGAGCAAAAGCAGATGCTGGGTGAGCGTCTGTTCCCATTGATTCAGCGTATGTATCCAGACTTGGCCGGCAAGATCACCGGTATGCTGTTGGAGATAGACAACTCCGAGCTTCTTCACATGCTTGAACATCACGAGTCCCTCAAGGCCAAGGTAACAAATGAATTTGTGACAGAGAAACATCTCAACTTGAATACGGTCTTGTGGGTTGTAACAGCTTGTGGCTTCTGTGGCTTCGAGAAAGCCTGGAAAGCTGCGTGCTGCTTCGGGTTTCTTGCTCGACCTGCTCTTCAACCCTAAAGATAAGAGTGATGTGTTCCTCTGAAATGTTTGGTTCATGTCCCAAGTACATGATAACTCAGGAAACATCCAACAACTTAACTTACTCCTTGCTTAGCGGCCTCCGTAGTCTAGGGGTAACGTTCCCACCTCATGACTCAAGGTACGTGGGTTCAAACCCAGCGGAGGTCATGGAATTTTTAAGGGCGAAAAAAATTCAGGGAACAAGTCCTCCGGGAGGGACTTTAAGCCGTGGGTCCCGTGTCGTAGATTTACGGCACGTAAAAGATCCTCGTCTCTAGGAGACCTCTCAGCAAAATTAGGCAACAATTTCCCGCCCAAGTAGTTTCTAATGCCTCTGGTAGAGGGGGGAAATATCAGGTACTGACGGCCGACCTCGTTGGCTGAACGGGGCTGATAACACGCACCAGTACCGGTAGGGTATGGCGACAGTAGAAATTAAAGGGGGACGCACAGTGGACCAATAACTGCTCTAAGTGCATAGGGAAACCCACCCCCTCTAATAATAATAATAATACTCGGTTCTACAGCCCTTCAAGAACTATCACTTCTTTATGATGTGACCATTCTCCTCAGATATTTGTAATTATGCCTCCATCTCTCTTGTTTGACTGGAGACATCCAAGTTTGAAGAATTGGAAGAGATTCTTTGCAAGAAATGTTCGTATATTTCATCTATATCGGTTCCTGAGCTATCCACTTGAGGGTTAAGTTCGGTGTAAGCACTGGGGTTGAATTTTGCATCCCCTGCACATGTTACATTAACTATGCAGTACATAAAATGCAAATGGTTGTCCCAGTGGGCTTCTGTGAGTTCACATCCTGCTGAAGCTGTTTACTTCTCTCAAGCATGATGCAGCGTGCAGTAGTTGAGTGTTGAAGTGTTACGTTTTGTTATTTGTGTATTTGCAGTGTTTGAAGTTGACCACTGTTTGTTTTGTGCAGGTGGAAGAAGCCGTGGCTGTGCTTCAGGCCCACCAGGCCAAGCAGGCTGCATCCCAAGTAAAGAAGGAATAAATTTACATCTCCCCAGATTCACTGCAAAACCAGGCAGTCATCCAACATAATCTCATAGCCAAACGTTGATGCTGATGACCTCAAGATGACAATTTAAGGGGAAGACATTCCTATGCAGCTGAATTCCATTACTGCCTGGTCCAGTGACTTGTTTCATTCCGAGGAGGTCACGTGAATTGAGCATGATACAAGGACATTTTCTCCCCCTTCTTTGAATTCTTAAACTTCAAAAAGATAAATTTTGCTTATAAAATGTAAATGTAGCATTGTGGTTTTAATTCTGAATGGAACTCACCATTGTTTGGTTGAAATAATACTCGACACCTACAGTTCTCTGCTGCCTTGACTGTGCCGGGAGACCATTTGTTGGGTGTTAGAGGAAGCTACAAAAATACGTATTTAATAAGAAACAAGAACGTGGGATCAACTTTGAGCCCTTAGCATAATATCCCCAAGGCTTTTTGTTTAAATATTTAATCTTAAGTTACACTTGGGGAAAAAAAATATATCTATATAATGTCTGTTGTGTTTCAGTTACTTAGTTTTTCATTGGTTTTTATGTTTAGTCCACAGTTTTTAAACTATTGCAAGATTGAGAAGGCATGGCGTTTTATGGGCTGGCGATAATTTATTCGCTTTATGCGAATTTATATAAATTTCAGGAAATTTAATTGATTCATTTTAGGTCGTTATGTGATAGGTTAGTTATTTGTGGTTTTCCATTTCAGTTACTAGAAACCAGGACAGATGTTCAAACTGTGAGTTACTGTGTTAATGCCTGCCTGTTTTAAGACAGAAAATGACAGAATATTTCCCCGTACCTGTAACACAAATTCCTATTGTGAAAATTTGGACCATAGGGTGCAATTATGTACTAAAGGTTTGCCCATAAATGTAACATTGGTAAAAATGTCTCTAAGTAACATTATTACACAACATATTGTTTTTTAAAACCCATAAAAAGAGAAAAACGTGGATGTACTACCAAAATCGATAACAATTGTCAGAAAATCTAAAAAAAAAAATGATTATATAAACATGTTTCCTGGTCCAAAACCTCTTCAGTAATACTTCAAAATTGGTAGATGAAAACATAGATCCAACTTCTGGATAATATTTAAGTATCTGAATTACTAGTAAGTATAATATGAAATATGTAATTTCACTGGGAAAATCAAGGTTAATAATGATAATAAAGTATTTTCTTTTCAGAGTTTCTTCGCTGTTCATTGTTTTCTGCTTCCTACAAAATGCCATATTCAGTCTGTCCACTATTCCAGCCACATACTTGTGAAATGAGTAAAGTAATTATTTTATTGTGATAGAGTTTGTTGAATTTGATGTTCTCACAGTGCGACTATGACTTCCCTTTGCTCCTGTTTGTTTCTTCCTGTTTTTTTATGCTAGTGGGTGGGACTAAGTCCCTTGTACTGCGGCAACTTCTGGCCTATTGTAGCAGACCCAGATGATAGGTGAGGGTGATTGTGGAGCAATTGGTGGAATGAAGATTGGCAGGGGAAACCGAAGTACTCTGAGAAAACCTGCCCCAGGGCCACTTCGTCCACCACAAATCCCACTTGGCCAGCCCCGGGATTGAACCTGGGCTGCCATGGTGGGAAGCCAGCGACTAACCGCTTGAGCTATGGCGCGGCCTTTGTTCCTAGTTCCTTTACCTGCCACATTCTGAAATCTCTCTTAGCATGCAGTTTTCGGGTCTGAAGATGGAGGTAGTTTGTTTCTCCTAGGTGTCGGTGAACATCTACTGGACTGCGTGGTGTCACATCCCAGAAGACATGATACAGTTTGTTTTCATCCCGCAAGTAGATTAATATTTAAAAAGATAAAAACTGTACTTTTGTATGGGTGTTGAACCGGTTGTTTGCGGTGTAGAAAAATGGGGGAGATTTGAGGTTCTCATAGCAGTGTATCAGTGCCATGTTCTGCTGTAGGTAGGTTCCTGTGAAGGACTGGTGTTACCTACCAAACTGTCGCATCCCAAAATATGGTAATCTCAACAGATTGAGCACATAGGAGAATGTTCAGAGCTGGGAGGGATGGAGTAACATGAGGCTGGAGAAACTTGTCTATAATTTTTTTCAAGAATTAAGATCAAATCAAGGATGGTGAGAGGGGGTAAAGGGGTTACATACAGGGAAGAAATCTCTTAGATGATCTAAACAAAAGGGATGATAAAACTAAAAGGTGAAGTCCCTGTGCTTAACTAATTAAGCACTACACCAAGAAGCATATGGGGGAGTGGATGTATAGATCAACATTTTCTTGACCTTGGCATTAGCTGGAGGAGTGGTCAGCTTCACCTCCAGGGAAAGTGCCCCTGGTACCCATTGGAGAGGAGGTTGGGTGGACTCCAGAGCCAGTCTGGACAACATTAAGTGAAAATTCTTGACCCCTTGGTCCTCCAGCGAGTCACTATACCAACTGTGCTGTCCTGGCCACGCCATAGCTCAAGCGGTTAGTCACTGGCTTCTCACCATGGCACCCCAAGTTCAATCCCGGGTCTGGTGAAGTGGGATTTGTGGTGGACAAGGTGACACTGGGGCGGGTTTCCTCCGAGGACTTTGGTTTCCCCTGCCAATCTTCATTCCACCAAATTCTCCATCATAATCACCTGGGGTAAGTACAATAGGCCAATCAGTGGGTGCCATGCCAAGTGGACCCAACTGGAGTCCACCCCCCAAGCAAATTAAAAAAACTGCTGTCCCAGCTCCAGGTATAACTAAATGGTTCTTAAATGAGTACAGTGCATATTGGATTTATCTGACTCGGGATAGGGACTGTTGACATGTTATGAACGAACGAAACTTGGGGGGGGGGGATAGTGGTGTGGCTGAGCAGGCCTAGTCCATGGAATCAAAGCACTTCAGAAATTAAGAATTTGGTTTACACCTGTAAGAAAACTGCATTTATGTTGTGGCTGGCAGTGTACCAAGCTTCCTCCATATTGGGTATCCATTCTAAGGTTCAAAAATCTTTGCTGGTTTTGGCCTTTTTTCTGTATCTCATTTTTATGTGGAAGGATCTAGATATTCCTGTTGATCGGTAGAAGCGGCCATACCCAAATGAGATACTATCCCAGCATTTGCTAGGAGGGACTGAGGAAAACCTCAAGATAGCTGATTGACCTAGATTTGAAATTGCCAGCTACCAAATAAAAGTAAAGTAAAAGTACCCCTGTAACAGGACGTGGAGGCCTATAGGGTTGTGAGATATTGAGGTTCCGACATTTCCTAGACAGTCGGCTCATAGATGGTGGTAAGGTTGTCAGCCTTACGTGCTGGCTGCACTTTACCCCCAAAAATATTCCTGGTACTCATTTCTGTTAAGAGGCTGAGTCGACCCCAGGGCCATAGTGCAGCTGGAAGGACTCCCAAATACAAGTCAAAAATATTACTTGAGCGAGTTTGCTTAATGAATCTGAATGAGTCATTAGTGAACACTGGTTCTGGAGTGTGCAGACTGTGCCAATGGTTCAAATACTTTAAAATGTCGTCCTTTCTGTTATCTCTGATAAGGTAAATCTTCTTGAATATGAAGAAAACCCTGCCTCACCACCAAGGTTCAGAGACCATGCAATGTAATTTCCTTCTGTAGGCTATTCATCATTGGAGATAATGGGGCCAGTGTCATAGGTCACCAATCTCAGAAATGGACAGAGGTCAGGAAGGTTGCTAAGACCATAACTGGAGGCATTAGTCACAATGACTGATTTACATGGGTAATGTGGAGCAGCTTCGTTTGACATTGGATGTTGAAAGCGATAAGCTTCGACAGAAAATAGATCACTGGATGCTATACAGACTCCATGGAGCAGAGGTCCAGTAGAAGCCAGAGGTCATTCAGCTGCTTGAGAAATTCCCAGCACTTTACAGAAGTGAAAGCTTCGTTGCTCTTTTCACAGTACTCAAATCCTGAGCCAACTGAATCCAGTTCACATGTCCAAAGACCTTGCAAAAGCTAACTCCTTGAGTTCTCTGACCCAAATGTTATATTTCTGGTAACTTCCATTCTTGCTAAATGACCCTCAATCTAATTTTCAATGTGATTTCCTAGTATTGAGTAAAGGATCCTTATTCCGCATTTCCTCCAGTCTCCCATTACTTTTTAGGTACAAATAATATTCTGAGCACCCTCAAGCTGCATTTTTCCATTGATAAAAAAAGAGAAAGTTTCAGTGTGAAATTCACACCCATACAAAACTACAGGTAAAATTACTGTTGTGTATGTTTTAGTCTTGTTTTCAGATAGCAGACTGGAAGACAAAAGATTCTGTACTCATTGGTAGCAAACATTCTGTGAATTTAATGTTCTCATAATTTTTTCATGAATATAATTTGTAATTGTTACCTTACTCCCCAAATACCGAAACCCTGCCACATTTTCAAAGGATTTACATTATATTCAGTGCTGGATTCAGGTAATGTGCTACCCCATTGCTTATTTTGAAGACCTTCTAATTCCTGCCCTGTGCCACAGGCTTGCACGGTGTTTGAAATAAAGAGATTAATTAAAGATATAAATATTTTTATTATAAAACAGGTTTCTAAAGCATCAGTGCTGAATTTAATTTGGCCTTGGCTATCTGTATTATAAATTTGTTCTTCTGATGAGACTTGAACACAACATGTAGTTCCCTTTGCAGTTCTAGATCAACTTCCTTAGTGGCAAACAGACTGAGTTTTTCTTCCTGGTTGCCATATACACTACTGTTTGTTGATTCTGGTGTTATATAATGATCTATTCGTCTCCCTTTTGAGCTAGATATCTTCAGCACGACTGAGAAAACAGTTTCATCGCTGTAGCGTCGAAGTTACATGTAAGAAACTGTAGTTTGTTGGTCGCCGATGAATGTCTGTTTGGTTGGCATCAAAGTCTTGCTGCTAGGAGAGCGATCTTAAAACGGCAACCAATTTGCAGTGTTTCTGGAATTGAGCGCTTTGTAAAGTGGGGTACGATCACATTGTTGCAACTGGTTGCTCATAAATGGAACACCAGTTGCAAATTAGGATACAGATCTACGTTGAAGATTTGTTTAAATCGTGACGTACAATAGATGATGAATCACTGTTCTCTTTGACCGGGAACAGGAAATTACAGCAGAAGCCATACTTGCTTTATCACATTGAAATTAATTGAAATGGAGGTGGTACAGTCAGTGGGAAGAATGAAAGCGTTTGTCTGTTTGAGTCTAATCAACAACTCTCTGGTATCATTTTCATTTTCGCATTTTTAGACCAAGGTTTCTTCAAACTTTTATTTATTTCTGGAAACGAACGTTATGTCTTCAAGAAGAAAGTGAAGACACCTTTGTGCCTGTCACCATGCCTTAACAGCATATAGTGGAAATCGGGGTAAAGCTCCAAACATTCTTAACCAATACCATTAATTTATTTTTTATTAATTACTAGAATGTGATAGTTGTGCATGTTTTTATGTAGCGGTAACTTGTCTTGTATAATGTTGTCTTTGCAATTCAGTTCAAATTTTGAAGTTATGTAAATTTGGGGTTATGTACCTTACTGATCTGTTTGACCAAGAGATCAAAGAAAGAAAGAAAAAAAAATCTAGTTCTCTTACCTATCTGTCGCTAAATTTAATATCCAAAACTCCCGTACGGATTTCTATTAAACTTGGTAGTGAAGTCAACGTTACGGTGTTACAGTTGAGTCATTCGAATCTGTATTGATCTACTGTAATTGTAACCATAGAACACTAAGCACAACTCACAATCAGATTCCTTCAAGACGAGTGATCATATAAATAAATTAGCATGATGAAGTATGGATCTCATGAATACATGCAGCTTTCGTTCGGAACAGTTTCCCTTTAATTGCATGGTTTACGAAATACTGAATGAAAAAGCACGGTATTAAAATTGACTGTGGCTACTGCCTGCTGCATGCATGTTTCTGGATTGCTCTTCGACTCTGAATAAGAAGTAAAGGTCTATCAAACTACACGGCGTCACATCCTAGAGGATAGTTTATGTAGTCAATACTGCGAAAACTACAAATTTCATAAAAATTGTGTAAGACGGCTTAATACGAAGGGCTCCCAGAAATAGGAACGACATCGCACTTCAAGTGTGTCTGGCCCGTTAGCTCAGTTGGTTAGAGCGTCGTGCTAATAACGCGAAGGTCGTGGGTTCGATCCCCCCACGGGCCACATTTTTTTTTTAATATATACATCTAATTTCTT